CCCCCCCATCCTTGTTCTAACTCACTAACTTTTAAGAATATGTGAAACTAACAAAAATGGTGCTGTTATAGTTACATTTTTTTAGTTGTTTCCCGAATTTCCTTTTGAATGAATATATCCGTCACTTTTTCTCACTTCTGTAAAATGTGGCACTAACGTAGAGCCAAGATCTGGAAGCTGGTGTTAGGAGAAATATTGAGAGGAGATCTCTTCTTCCTCGCATGCTTTACCTTTCTGTTCAGAGTGTTTCTACGTCAATCAAGGAAAACTTTGAGATTAATGGTTCTCTATCTGATCCTAAAATCTCCACGGAGCTAAAAAATTTGCTTGAGCGCTATGCAAAAATGTTGGGATCTACTTTTGAGAATGCAGTTGAGCTGGTTACGGGGGTTTCTGATGGAATAAGTTCTTATAAGGTATGTTCTGTTTGTCCTAAACTTAAGAATTTAATGTTGAACTGGTTATATATGTTTTTGTTTGTCTTGTATCATGTCTTGAGCTACAAAGCCTGCTTTGTGTATACAATCAGCATTATCAATGAAAACGGCGTCTTGTCTGCAAATATTCATATGTGACACTTGGCTTTTGATTGCTTGTCTTGTTAATGTCTGATGGTCTTTCGAATTATGTCAGTTTGAGCATTTGACCTATATTATCTTTTCAATGTTATGGGAGGAAAGTTCAAGTAAAATTGTCTGCTCAATATCAGGTTCGAAGTCTTCACTAGGTTTAGATGCATTAACTCTTAAAATATGCATCTTGACATGGACAGATTTATGCTTTTAACTCTTAAAATATGCATCTTCACTTTAGGTTTAGGATCTTGCTGTCAGTACGTCATAGTGACTCGGTTATCGATCTAGCAATTTTGTTATAATCATCATCTTGAGAATATTTTTTTTGCAGGATTTCGGCACCAATTTGGTTGAATGGTTTAATTTTGCTGTGTTTCTAAATGCATGGAACTTGAGTTCTGGTGGATGTCGGTCTCGCACCTGGCATATTGTCGATTCTCTTCTGGAAAAGTACATTTGGGAGGGTGTTGCATCCTTGGAGTCTACAATATTCACTCCTTACGAGAATATTCGCACGCTCGTGCAGGTGGTCTCAGAGCCATTAGCTTGGCATGGCCTTATACTCCAGGCATGCGTTCGATCTTCTCTTCCATCTGGTAAAAGGAAGAAGAAAACAGGATCAGCTGAGCTATCCTCTTCTCCTCTATATCTTGCACTACGGGATTCAACACAATCTCTGTGTAGTACTCTAGAGGCGTTGCTGAAGTGGTTAATCGTCAACCAATCAGATGATGGTAAATTAGAAGCCATACTTTTGTCTATGCAAAACGATGGAAATAACGATGGACCTGGGCAAGTATTTCAGATTCTCGAAACTTCGACGTCGTCCATGGACAGTACAGAACTTGGTCATTGGATTACTGGAGCATTTAAGTGTTGGAATACTGTAGAGGTCGCAAGAAAACTAGTTACTGGGAAGCATGTAGTGTTAAATGAGTTTATAAAAAATTGTGAATCAAAATTCAAATCAGTTCAGAAATTGAAACAACAATTATCTCAAATCTGAAGGCCTGCTACATTCATTCCCCATTGATGCCACATCGCTTTGGTTGCATTCAGCCAGCCAAAATTCATCTCCGGAAGAATATTGAGTTTCGAGTTGAGTTCTGTTTTTCATTCGAGTCATTATATGCCCAAGATTTTGCTCGGCAACAATGATGAGGCGGTGGTTGATCTCGAGAGGGGACTCTACAGTTCGATAGGCTGAAACCAAATAAACAACTTTTTCTTGCTTTATATTCGAGGGGAAGTTTTAGAATGATAGTTTTTAGTACAGATTTTGAGTTTCAAGTTCAAGTTCTGTAAGATCCAATTTGTCGTGGGTTTTGGTTTCAGCTCATAGGAGTATGGTCACACACGGTTTAATCTGTTGGAAGAATCTACCTTACGAATTTTGTATGAAGGAAAATTGCAAATGACAGAGCCAAGGTTCTTTGAGATCCGAATTTGTATTCTAGTCTATAATAGTGTAATATGTCTAACAAACATGTCCATCCAATTCAATATAATCATGATGACTATCATATTTGGCCTCATACACAATGATTGTTGTACATCCGAACATCCGACTATAGCCAACTAGCCCAATCATGCAAGCCTAGGGGATGTGCGAGCCCGCCTAGTGGGTTCACAGTTGCATGTGTGGATCTATTACCTATCTAATTTGTTCAAACTAGAGGCCACCTAAGATACTATGATTTTAAATGATAGGTCCCTAATCACAATTATTGTACCTCCGAACGTCCTACCACAGCCAACTAGACAGACCATGCAAGCCCAAGGAGTGTGCTAGCCCATCTGGTGGGTCCACACTTGCACGTGTGGGTTTAAAAAACTATGATTTGAAATGATAGAGATCCCTAATTATGATTGTGGGTCTCTAATCATGTGTTTAAAGAGGTAAACTAAGAATGAATATAGCAGTCTGAAGGCGGCTTAAAAACTTTTTTTTTCAAAGTAATTTGAAAGTGATTCCAAACAAACTAATAAAAATAATCCATGAAAAAAAAACATTAAAACTACATTGTAATTAACGGAGATATTAGTGAGTTAAACGGAATCGACAAAACTCGGGTGGCTTTAATCCGCCCACCTATATCAGGCAACAAATTTCAAGCAACGAGTATCATTATGTATATTCTGGCAACGACATGAACAAAAGCGTACTCCACACCTTATGCACGTGTAGCTAGCAGCAAAACCACAAACCGTGCAGAAATGCCGGCGGGAGGTAGAGCTTGGAGGTCCGACGGCTGCCTTCAAGTACGATGGAACATGTGGAGGCAAAGACTCCAAACTTGCCTGTTTTGTTTGTGCAAATATTGTAGCTAAACATTAAAACGAACTTTTTATTGTAATCTGATAACGACCAAGAAGTAGAAGATGTTTCATCCTAACCTCGTGCAGAAGCTCCATAAAAGTTTTGGGAGCCTTCTTAGCTTCAAGTGCTTTTGCCTGTCTAGTTTTGCGCTTGGTGCCTTTTGATTGCCGCTTTTGTATGTATGCTGTGCTTAGGAGGTTAAAAAGGGGGAAATATTAGAGACACTATATACCAAACAACACTCGAGGGCATAGAAAAATGTAATTTAAATTCACTAGAAACAGAATTTAAGTGGACAGGTTCAATTATTCCTTGGAGATTTATTTTATTTTCAAGTGATTTTTCTATATGGAACTAAACCCATTGAAACACAAAAGAGCACAAAATGAAGGTCCAGAAGGAAATGATAAATTAACCCACTTTGAAGCCTATGGAGCCATAAAAAAAAACCACTGCAACGGACTTTGGCAAGCAAAAAAAAAAAAAAAAAAAAAAAAAAAAAAAAAAAAAAAAAAAAAAAAAAAA